TCGAAAAAGTGATTTAAATAGCACGTCATTTCAATCGCCGAAAATAAATCGCATGCACATCACAAGACTCATTTGCATACAGTGAAAGTTTACAACACCCGACCATCGCAATTTTGTTAATTAAGATTCTTATTTTTTTTCGACCACTCAGTGGTGTTCACTTCCTCCAAAGTAATCAACGCTTAATTCAGGCGATAGAATTCGTGGACTGACACGTTTCGGAAAAGCTCTAAATTTTATCTTTCCTAAGCTTTCTTCGCGAAACATGCGTGGCTTCGATCACGCAAAGATTCTTAGTCCCAGTTTCCACGGTCTCCGCAAGGAACGCCTGGCACAATGACCGCCTTTTGTGTCCCAAAAATTCCGGGAGGTACTTCCAGAAAAATTGGGAGGGTGTGTGCGGCACCCTTCTTGAAACCCTTACCCCATTTCAGACCAAAATCTGTGATTTTCCCTACCCTATTTCAGACCTGATCAAAAATTTGATACCCTATCTCAGACCTGACGCCCTAGAGCCCGGCTCGTGACCAGAGCGCGTGACAAGCTGCTACGGCACGTACACGGTACTTTGTGTAAACATTAAAAGAGAAATGGTCTTATTGCTAAATGATGAAGAAGTAGCTAATTGTTCTAAAAAACATACCCAATTCAAGACTAGAGTGCACAAACCATACCCTATTTCAGACCAAAATGGTCGAAATTGATACCCTGTTTCAGACCAAAACAGCGAAAAAAGAAAACATACCCTTTGGTGCGGCACATACCTATATGGCCGAAATAAGGGACTACCCCTCCCCGGGAACGCGTTGCAGATTATGAGTCTCGCTGCTTACGCAAGCGAGACTAATAAGATTGTTGAAGTTTGAAATAGTGCGAATAGACTTTTAAGTGACTTTTTCTGTTTGTTGTCATCCATAATTTTTGCTACCGTGACAACGTGACGTAACGACTTCTCCTCTCTATTAGACTGGGATAAATAAGATTCCTTTGTTTTATAATTAAATTCTATAAAGGCCGTAAACACACGATTGTTCCCGGTGGCAGCCAATTTATTCGTTATAATTTATCGGTGTTATCTCTCTGTCTAAAGGAAAGGCCAAAATAAAAAATCAGGCCGGATTTTCATGTGTGTGGCTCGCTACACGTCTGGTAGCGCGTAAAGCAGCCTTTTTACACCATCTCGGAGGTAAACAGAACTATCGAGCGTTGTCTGTTTTCAGACCTCGGTTCGCGCATGAGAGAATACGACTTAATCTAATTAACCCAAGGGTTTTAAAAATAGAACGCGGTTTGCACGTGAATATGGTGGACTCTGCCCCTGTTACGGTGCGAACGTGAAAGGATGTAACGTGTTTACGAGCTCACTTTGCTCAATACGATTTTAAGAAATCACCTCCTTTCCGAAAATATGCAATGAAATTATAGATCATTCAATGTTACCCTTAATTATCTCATGCACGAGATCATGGAAGTTTGCGTGACATCTTCTTTGGTGCTCGACAATTGAGTGCAAAAATATTGTCAAACTCTTGGCAATAAGCCAAACCATTAACACCGTGAGCTGCGAGGACGATATTTTTCCAAAGAGAAAATTTTAAGTATTTGATAGTTTGTTTCACTCAGTGTACCCTGTTTTTCCAAAAAGGCTTTGTTTTCTTTGTTTACTTGGGGTGTTTACGTTCGCACGTATTGCGTGCCTACTGCAACTTTGAATCAAAACAAGCGAATTCACTCGATTACTCTAATTGGACGACGCCCAAATAATTAAGACTTTTCGCATAGTCCAGCAAGGTGAAGTAAGCTTACTAAGAGTAGCTTATTTTTGAAAACGATGATTTCCGATTTCTTTTTGTGGGGCGGCGCATTGCACAACCACAACCCAATAAACGAAACCAGCCAAGAATAACAAAAAATGTTGATCGGCAGCTGTATTTCATTTTGTAGATCCAGTGCAAAAAGACAGGTAAAAGCATCACAAGATGACACAAAACTCGGTCAGCTTCAGCTATCGGTAAACAAGTCTCAGATGCTGCATTAAATTTCCACATGAATCCTCTTCGCCTGTTAATTCTTGCTCTCTGCCTTTCTACTTCTTTCTCTTTCCCGTCGCTCTTCACTTACAAGCAAACATGTAGGTTGAAGTAAATCCGCTATTGTTTGCTGCCATATCAATTTTTTCGAAACAGTTTAGTAGAAACTGAGCACTACGGTTACAAATCCTTATAGTCGGCAAAGGGTCACGGAGCGAACTATTGAGGAACTAAGTACAGCAGGACGGATCTCCGTGATCCACTTCTTTTCGCCAATTTTAGCCATAATTATGCTAAAATTCAGAATAGTTTTGAATAAAACAAGTTAGTCCTATCCAAATTGTTAATTTTTAGCAAGAGAGTGGCTAGATTGCCTTTTAAACTCTACTAGTTTGCGTCGAAATTTAGCCAGGTCACAGCCTTCATGAAGGCTTGACGTCCTCGATCATGGTCAACTGACACCCCACCCCGGGGATAGATGTGTGCAGCTGTAAATTTTTGGTAATTTCCCATGGGCTAGTGCTAGGAATGAATGTAAAATCAACGTATTTGCCCCACTATTTCTCCGTAAAATCCCCACTATCCGCGGGAGTTTTAATTTGGGGGTCGGGGATGCAATTGACTAGTGCATTATGCTTAAAAAACTACTTGAAAACAAGTTTCTAAAGTAAACCAGTTTTTGAACGCGACGACTTTAGCCACGCCATTTCTTGCGCGATTTCCCGCCAAGAAAAACGCGGGCTGCATAAATGCATCACACGATTTATAAAATACTCCTCCCCCCGACGAGCTGACATCTGATTCGCTTCCATCACCCCCAAAGAGTGTACGGACGGACGGAGTACGCTGACATCACAACAAAATTTTCTCGGATGGATGATTTACCAAATTTTGTTACCCATGGTGCTCCGCTGGCGGGCGCTTCGCGCGCGCGAGAACTCCGCTATAATACGTGATTCTCTTAATAGACATTATGTTGTGATATAAATCTTACGTAAATCGTAGATTAGTTACAAAAGACGAATTGTGTGGGAAAAAAAATCGTGCAAAGTTTGTGCCTCAGAAAAAAAAATCTTGCAGAGAAGTGGGCTGAAAAAAAAAAATTCATGCACTGAAAATTTTTCACCTCCCCCCCCCCCCCTCCGGTTATTTCTAACGGTCCATCCCTAAACTATGGTGGCGTTCGAAATACGCCTCACGACCGAACTATAGTATAAAGAAATAGGGGGATGCCTGCAAACCCGAAAAAATTCAGATCACGCTGGTTTAACACAGCAAGGTTTGCACGGTTCATCTTCTACTACCTCCACCAGGAGGGCTTGAACTAAAACGAAATTTTTTGATAACTGGAAAGAAATGGAAGCAAGTTTGGAATGCGTTTGAAACCGTCAGAACGCCAAACGAAACGGAAGCAGATTTTTCATCCCTTGCGTTAGCCTGCAATCCGGCCAATTATGAGCGCTGTCGTTCTTGGAAGGTAAAAAACGAAACGTCCGATGTCAGGTTACACTTGCATTTGTGCCGTCGTGCTCGAAACACACAATGGATTGCCTTTTCGCTCAAGGTAAAGCACGACATGAACGCTCTTTTAGATCCATGCAAATCTCTTTGTCAAGAGTACAAGTCTCAAGAATCATTTGATGTTTACGCCACAGCGCTGCGAGCTTTGGCACCACCCGCCTAATGGTGTGTGTTGCCGTTGAAAGATGAAACGATTCGCAACTGCCCTTGTTATCGTTGAGAATACCTTTTGACGAAATCTGATACGGGAAACTAATTATCGCTTAAAAAATGTTGGATATTTATCGATCCGCGAGCAGCCACCTGTCACCAGAGCTCGCCTCGATGGGATCAGCGCCCTCACCCTCTGCCTTTTCTATACCACTCACACGGTAAATTCCCTAATAATAATAATAACAATAATAATAATAATAATAATAATAATAATAATAATAATATTCCAATAGTAGGATATGGGTGCCTTTTTCTAAAATCGGACAAATAAATGGATAAATAATAATTATTATTATAAAATAGTCATCATTGAATTGATAGAAAAACATGCCTCCCGGTTGCAATTTTCCTCCCAAAACAAGTAGTCCCTAGTTAAGCTACATTATAGGGTGGGCCGGAAGCTCTAAGAACGGCTCACAGGATTGGTTTGAAAACAATAGATAGCCCTAACCCAAACAAAACTAACAATGAACCCCAACTCTGAGACAATAGAGCTTCGGGCCAACAAGATGAAATTAGAGGTTCTAAAGAGGTTCTGGCCAACAGACATTATAGACCCTATGTTTTTAGCCCATTCAACACTTTTTTATATAAAACTTACACAGAAATTTCCCGTGGTGTATATCAGACAACTTAAGAAATACAAGAAATAAGTTCCCAAAAGCGTTTAATTCAAAGTAAAAAAAATGGACAAAAAATTTCAGAAACAACTTAACTAATATGATGTGAAATTCTATTAGGCTGAACAGTTTTAAAACAACTAAATCAATCCGTCTTAATCTCTTTCAATCTTTTGTCCAAAAGATGTTTCGATCCTTACTACTTAAATCGGCTATTATTGTTCTTTAGCCAATTTGATGGCTACAATCCCGGACAAAACTACTTGAGAAAGTTTTCCCCATCATTTCCCGTTTCCTACGCAACAAAGCTATTTCCAAAACGACGCCTTTGCGGAAAGAAAACCCCTTCCCCCAAATCAATGTTGCTTCCCACAAACGCCCAGGGATCAGGCTTTCTTTTGAATACACAACAACACTGCTTTCAGGGGAAGGGGGAGAGGGAAGAACCGGTACAGCTACGATGTTTAGAAAAATGCTGTCCAACTATACAATTTTCTCAACAGTTTTGTCCAAGATTGTAGGTCCTAAATGAATTTTCCTAAACTAATCTATGTGAAACATCCTTTCAGCGAAGAAACTCTTCCAACTCAGCCACACCCTAAATTGCGTGAAAGATCTATTCATCATAAACTAGCAAGGTGGCGGCATTCTCCTCGGTACGGCGTTTCCTGATTACAATAATCAGTGCAGCTATGAGACCGAGCATGACGACTCCAAGCACCCCAACTAACACTCCAACCAGGGTGAACATCTGTGGATTGTCTTGGGAGGCCTTCTTTCCAAGTGCATCTGAGACAGAAAGAGGTCATACAGAAAGGACTCATCGTGTGAAAAGATTTCAAACTTGGCGGGGGCGGGGGAGGAGTTTACTTAACGAGCTTTATACAGGGAGGTCCCGCTGTCTAACCCTTTACCCTTTCTTATACCATGTTTGACAGAAAAGATAACCCTTTCGCATGCTTTTGGATCATGCAAATGGTACACCATTCACATACCTAGTTTAGAATTTTACATCCCTTTATTAAACTGCTTTAACATGTATCAAAATATTAAACCAGAACGTTTTCTTGACTTTTTCTCAGCCATATAATGTATCTTCTGGCCCTTTTGGGCAGACCGAAGTAACACATTTCCCTACCCTATCACATACTTCAACTAGTGAAAACTCTGCCCTTTCATATGCTTGAACTGAGCTAGCCAGAAAAAAGTACCCCTATATATATAAACATAAATCCGCGATTTTGAGTGATTATTAAATTACAAAACCAGAACGTTTTCTTGACTTTTTCTCAGCCATATAATGTATCCTCTAGCCCTTTTAGGCAGAGCGAAATAACATATTTCCCTACCGTAGCATATACTTCTACTAGTGAAAACTCTGCCCTTTCATATGCTTGAACTGAGCTAGCCACAAAAAGGTACCTCTACATAAACATAAATCCAAGATTTTGAGTGATTATATCTCTTTGAACTTGGCTAATTTAGTTTGCGAACGGTGGGCGAGTTTTCCTAAAGTTCAATTGTTTGACTGCATGCATTACGTTCGTGAATATGAAACATAAGTATTGTCTGACTGAAACATTTAGTTCCTTTACAACCTTAACGTATATCGCTGAAGCTAGAAGGCAGCTATGCTGTATTGGAGGCTGCTATCTTAATGCAGATTACTTTAGCATTATGTGAAGTATGTATAGGGGTGCTTGACACAAGTCTTTCATAGTGTACTGTGAGTAATACATACCTTTATCTTCTTCTCCCTTGACCTTGATTGGCCCAATGAACTGTTTAATGAGGAAATCATCTTTCACTTCCCTTTTCTTTCTGGAGTCATTCTCGTTTTCCTGGCATCCCTTGGCGCATTTTGACTCTTCTTCCTTCGAGCGACACACAGTCATCTTACAGTGTATGTACACGTCTTGATAACCAGATTTGAAGCGGAAGGCCACTAAACTAAATCGCTGTTCACCAGACATCTTGTACTCAAACTCCAGAGTTTTGTCTCGGGGACATCTACAAAAAGAATAATAACCTTTTAAAGCGAAAGCACAATAAACATCTTTTTTTTGTCAAATAAGTTTACACTTTTTTAGCGCAAAATTTAGGTTGCACAACTAAGATCATTGGCGGCATCAGAAAATAAAACTAAACTAAAGAACAAAAGCTCTGGCTTCTGGTAAGCATATTACATCATCTTTCTTAACTGCACCACGGTCCTTCTCATAACGTTCTTTCATCCGAATCATCTTTCGCCTCGGGAATGCATGAAATGACTGGGTTTAAATCTATTTTTCACATTTTAATTGGCCAAAACTTCTCAAAACTAGTCGTTTAACTTACCATAACATGCTTTGCTTTATTTATTTATTCATTTTATCAATTTTTTCAAAGACTTATAGGCTCAAAGACTAAAATATAAACACCAACATCGCCCCATGTAATATCCGGAAAATGTTTGCTAGTAGAATCCAGAATCCTGGGGCTTTTGAATCCAAAATACTGCTCAAGGACTGAATCCCGAATCCCACTAACGCCTGGAATCCGGAACCTAAGTTCCTCTGACAAAGAATCCGGAATCCAGCGCCTACAATGGTAGAATCCGGAATCCACGGCGTAGATTCCAGAATTTAAGAATTACTCGGATTCCCTTACTGAAGGGGCGTTGTTTACAAGCTTCTGAATCTCTTCGTTTAACTTGCTACAACATATTTTGCTTTTATTTTTCTTTTCTCATAGACCCATAGACTGAATGACTAAAGCCAAACATTTTAGTGGTTATTTACGCGTTTTCGATGATCGCATGATCCGGCTTATCATTGATATCCTGGGAGGGCGTGGCCTTGCATTCATCCGGGAACAAGATCAGTCCAGAATCCCCCGACTCTACACGCATTTCCAGGTACATCCGCTGGCTAATCCCGATGACGTAGGGAAATTCATCAACTTTGTTTGAGTAGTCCTTATCGGTGTACAGATTTACCTCATACGAGAAGTTACCGAAGTCCTCTGATGATAAAAAAGCATAGCATAACATCAAGAAATGATCTTCGTGTACCTTACTTTTTTTCTGCTGCCAAACAACTAGACGTGTGACATATGATATTGCGAGTTGTTTTCTCTGTTTATACTCGAATTATGTGTTCATAATTCTATGAATGCCTGTGATAAGAATGCAATTTATTCTAACAGAAAGAAAACAGTTCACTCTCCCTTTGTCTGAAAATACGTTATTCACAAACCAAAATAAAGAGCTGGTTAACTGACTCCAGAACTGCCAAAAAAATTCACTCTTGCTCATTTCCTTACGAAAAAAAAAATTAGCCTTCCCTGACTTTTTATCCGCTGAGACGTTTTAGAAGTAGTTTCGAGAATTAAACTTTCGAGGGGCGGAGCTGGAGTGCTGGGTAAATGGAGAGAGGCGGGGAGATTGAACTCTTCCATCTGAACAGGAAAGTTTTAACCCATTTAAGTTATTGTCAGGTAAGTCCATCAAATTGCTCAAAAACCTACTCGTTGCCCTCGAAATAAACTTTAAGGGGTATTAAGGTGAACACTCTAAGGAGTCTTAAAGTGTTCATTTGAAGGGGTCTTAAAGTGAAAACTAATATATAGATTTAGCCCGGGCCAAAAGCCAAGCTCCAATTAATAAATTTATAATTTAAATCAAACAATAATCTTTTAATTCACAAATCAGTTAACTTAAGGGCGCATTCATGTGACTTTTGAGGGAAAGGCTAAGTTATTTTAGAGTGAAACATCTTACATCGAATTGATAACCTCATATGTACACCCAAAAAATAACAAACATCTTCGATCACATTCAAGATCACAGTAGATTAGGCCTCGAAAATAAATTCTTGGAAAACAAATCACGTCGATTTTTTTTGCGTTCGACAGGTTTACTTTACAAATTCTTGCCAACAAATCTGGCGGTGTTTAAACCAACCTTTTAGAATTTTTATACATCACATTTGAGGTGAAACAGTACTATTTATCATACAGACCTCGGACAGAATGCGGTATTTCACAATTTTTCAAGACAAATTGCACTCAGTCAATATTCAGGACGATCAATCGTGGGCTTTAAGCGAAACCGTTCAAAAATTTCCAAAACCACCCATACGGCCAGCTGGTTTTCGTTTCTATAGTGCGAGCTGTCAGTGTGGTCGAGTGTTTGAATGAACTTTAGTAGAGTCACGCTTCAACATAATAGCGAATTTTTTTTTTTTTTGTTATTTAATGGTTTCAGTTATAACGATGTGTAATCTTATAAAGCGTTTGATACGCGCGACAGTTTTGAGTACTTCTGCAAGCGATGTTCATGTACGATGAAAACAAAGGGCACGGACAAGCGATTAAAATTGCAAGAGAGACTACTAACAATCAAAAAAAGAAATATAATTCGATGAAACATTTACAGAGACAATAATTTTCATTCACGAAGACAAGTATTAAAGTGCTTCAAAAGTCTTTAAGCGTAAAGTAAAGCTTAAGCCGGCTTCCCGACGCGGTGTTTACTGTTTTCGAAGGTGAACTCCTCGAAGCAAGAAAATCGCTCAAAGTTTTCTTTCCACAGCCAAATTTACAACTAAATATTCTTCGGAACGTTTTCTTTCTATTTATGGTGAGCAAATATATCTGAAGGCTTTTTAAAGTTCTCAAGCTTATATCTAACCTGATACTAGGTCAGGTCATTGTCTCAAATCCTACAAACGTGCATAAACTTGCCGCATAAACTGTCAGCGTGAACTGTGCAAGACTTCATGAAATTAGATATAACAAAAACAAACATCAAATACAATAATTACTCAGGCTTACTATTCGAGATTCAGTTCCTGAAAGCTATCAAGGAAGGCCATATTTGCTTGAGACTTAAACCCTCTTACGCATTAAGCAAGGTGAAAATCGAAAACGATGCCATCCGAAATCACATTACCGAATTTTGACAAGCGACGCATTTCTCCACCAAAAACCCAGTAAACAAACCAGCCATGAATAACAGAAGACTCTTGATAGCAGCTGTATTTCATTTTGTACATCCAGTGGAAAAAGACAGTTAAAAACATCACAAGTTGACACAAAACTCTGTCAGCTTTAGCTGTCAAAGTAAACAACTTTCAAGATGCTGCATAATTTTTCCGCATGAACTCACCTGTCGAATTTTGACCAATCAGAGTATAAAAATTGGACGTAGAGCGTGACCAACGCGTGACCATGGTAAGATAAGGTCTTCCCCGCCTGTACTTTTAAAAAACTGAGGTCAGTTTGAAATCAAAATCCTAATAGTAAGGGGCCATAGTGACATAAACACAACATATTTGATATGAATCCTTGGAAAAAATAAACTTGAGCCTGCGATCATTTGAAACTGGTAATTTATCAGCGGATAACTTCAAAAAATACTCGACCTCGATGGGTCAACACTTGAGCCCGCGGTACGGTCAGGTGATACTGGTCAGCAGATGCTCTGTTTTGATAGCTGTCAATTGATCACAACATTGATGTGCAATTAGTTTTCTCTTGGGCTCCCAAACTAGCTAAAAGTGTGAGAGTAAAAATTGGTCTTCCTGTGGTGCGGACGGACGGTCGGCGGTCGGCGGTCGGTGTACGGTCACGTGATTACCAAATTTTCTGAGATGGGTGCATTTACTTAGCTATGGGGCTCCGCCCACGAGCGCGCTTCGCGCGCGCGTGGAGCTCCGCTATAAGGGGTCTTAAAGTGAACAGTTTAAGGGGTCTTAAAGTGAAGACTTTAAGGAGTGTTAAAGTCAAGACTTTAAGGAGTCTTAAAGTGTTCTGCACTTTAAGGAGTCTTCAAATGAAGACTTTAAGGAGTCTTTAAGTATTTACTTTCAAGACTTTAAGGATTTAGTTATATAGGGCATTTTTATATAATTTTAATTGTAAGTTGTATATATTAAGGGACTTTGCCCAGCATCTTAGAATTATCCATTTACTGATTTATTGCCATTGGCGTGTATCAAAAAGCAGTAAACAGGCATTATTATATTTGCACTTGTTGTTGTTACCTGTATTGGTTATGATTTTTGTGAACTGAGGATTGACTTGCACTTTAGAGATAACAGCCTTTTTCTTGTAGGAACACTGAAAGGGAAGCACTCTTGTACTTGATCGAGTGATGGCTCCCTCTTCATTCTCGTCGTTTACTACAGCAATAATCTTGTTCATGTAGCGAATTTCACTTTCGTCTTCTTCATATTCGGTTTGGCAGTCCCCCAAGCCAAACCTAAATATAACCTTTGTTGCATCTCGATACCCGGGAACACAGGCCTCGTCCTGGAGATGAGTCACGTTGGTGTCCAGTCCTGGGTAGTTCTTGCTCTCCAAGGTAACCTCGATGTATTCGTTGTGGCATACGAGGCCCAGTTCTGCAGAAACGTAAAAAAGAATGTTCCCAATCTACTTCATACCTTGTACGTTAATTGAAGAAAGAAACTGCGTTTACGGATAGTTTAAAAACGGTTCCAAGACGCACTGATCACTACCTCGCCAGACGAGTTCCACAGAATGTTTACTCAAGTAAAGTACAATGCGTAGTATCCAGGGGAATTATTCCATTACTACCAAAGAAAATATATCCTTCAGCTCTCTTTTTTTCTTCGTTACTGTCTAAATCGTAGGAAATTCCTCTAGATCACAAGAATCTTTGCCTTACGTACTTTCGACAAACGGAAAGATCAGCTTCATTTCGTTCTGCTAGTAAATGGTTAAATTTTTCAGTGAGGGAAAGGCCAGGGATAGCTTTATAAATTCTGCATTTCCATGAGCGAAAATCACAGGAAAATAATTAGTTTAATGCAGTAATCTTTAACTTTTGGATAATGTTTCAAGAAGCATTAAGCCAGCGACAAATTGATATCTATGGAAGACCTGAAGGTTAAGAGTTTACTATAATTACACGCTTTAATTATTTCAATTTCCCTTTTTTAATTATGAATCTTTGATTTGTAAAGAGAAGATGTTTTAGTAGTGCAAAGAGCAATCGCAAAAGGTGGGTTTTGTTTTCGGTTTCATCATTACAGGTTTGACAGCTGGCTGTTAAGATAGATTTGTCTATACACCTGTGGGTTGAGGTTGGAAATGTAAAATAATTAAATAATTACATTGAAGCTAGAGCAATATTCCTAACTTATACATACTTGCCGTGGAGTTATCTATCATTTCTCCATCAGCCCCTCCACTTGTTGGTGTTGCCGACTCTACAAAAAAAGTAAATTTCATCAAAAGGAGTTAGGCTCCTTTGTGTTTAGTAATATGCATCTAACTGAGGTCAACCAATTAACGAGGAGAGTGGGGTGTTAAAAGCACTTTAAAATGACTGGTATATTCCTTCATTACGTTCCAAACTTAAATATAGCCTTATTAATAAATCTTAACTGCAAAGAAATCATCGCAGTTCTAGACGTAACTTAGATTACGATTTCGGCATATTATACCCTTTCTTCGTCCGATAATTGTAATATATGATTTTCATGTGTTGATAATATCATCTTTAATAACTTTGTTGGCATCAGATATTTATGTAGCTTTTTTTTAAAGAAAGAAAAGGCTTAACAACATTGTTCCCTTTTAACTTTAGAGCGCTTATCTCTCTCAGACGGACGTCGTAGAGAGAATCTCAGTAATGTACTGAGAGAAAATAGATTCTGCTATTGTCAAAATTATACCTCCATTGAAGGAGTTTCAGAAATCAACTAATCGACTACAAACGATTGTATGATTATCAATCTTCTAACAGGACTACAAGTGTACCCGAGTGAATCATATTAACAGTGCAACCTCGTTCCAGGAGTTTCCTCCTACTCTTCCTTCTTCCAACACTCTCTTTTGGGAGGGAATCCTGGGAACGAGGTTGCAAGCAGCGGATCGCTCTGAGGAGCATGAAGACAAAACGGTGAGATTTATTTGGAGTCGCTTTAGTGTGTTGGGCAACTTCACAGCATTATCAACAAATAGTTTCTGAAGCCAAACTTTCATACTTTTGGCTGTCGTTGAGGGTTGGGACATTCGGATCAACGGACTCACCTGCTGAGCAACCATGTGCGGTTCCTAAGACCAATGGGCGGATATGTGTTTTGATTTGTTTGTAAGTTCGTATTGGCTGCCTGTTGAGGGGCATTTAAATTTGTGAAGATATTAACAAAATTGCGGTTTTTGGAACAAGACTCCCTCGAAGAAGCTTCCGATTTCTTTTTTCTTTATACGATTGAATACAATTGCCTAGTGAGGGATGTCTTATAAATGTCTGATTTAAAACGCCCGTGCTATCTTTATGTTTTGTCAGGTTAGCCTGTTTCCCATTTCAAATAACAAAATTAACAATTATGATTTATCTTTATATTTCTTTTTCGCCTTTTCTTTCCCATAAAGGTGATTATATCAGGAGTTCTTCAAAATGTGTATGACAATATAATGTGTGCAACAATAGATACGTATGCAAAAGATGGTTAATTAAACTAACTGAAACAGTTTTTTATTAGCGTCCAAAAGAAAAAAAACTAATTCAGCAAATAAGCAGCTCAGATAGAAAAAAAAATATACATTAAAAAAAGCAATCAAACAAAATATATTTTCTTCAGGATCATTTCAAAGCAACTGAACTTTTGTAGCATGTCTAGGTCTAAGTAAAGAAAACTTTAGTCAATGCCTCTCAAGAATAGATAAATTAAAATAATTTAAGAAAGAAAATTTCCATCATTCCATTTTTTTTCCATTTCCATTTTAATCTTGCAATTTTGACAGGGGCAACAAATTATAGCGGCGTATGAGCGTTTGGAATGTTTTATAGGAGAAAGGCGAGGTAGAAAGAAAGGACGGTTTGAGCTGTTACAAAAAGTATACAAATTGTAAATTTATAGACATTTTGCTATCTCTGTAAATAGTCCAGTTTTTCCAGTGAAATGCTATGCTGGAGTAACCTCTGTTTTTAAATCTTGCAATTTGACATTAGTTTTGTGAGCAACAAAGCTCGTAGGTTAGTGAGAGAGAGAGTAGACTTAAATGAATGGAAAACAGGTGAATTCGAAACCATTTTGTTTTTGCAATTGCCAGGATGAATCCGTGGGAAAAATGGTTTTAATCTGATACTATACTAGAATTAAACTAGAGGCCCTCAGTGGTCAAATTAATTATTTTAGCAAGCAAGAAGTTTCCCGCCCTGTCCATTAAAGTTTAAATAAGTGAAACAAATAAAGTTAGTCTTTGCCTACCTTGAGCAATTGTCAAGTTGCAAACCAACGAGAAAATAGTTAAGCAGAAGAGAAACGTCATCTTTCTAATTTTAAATTTTGGCAGATTTTTTACCAAATGGTGTGAAATATTTTGATGTCAAACAAACAACATGACAGCGGCCAAAAGCAAGCCAAACACTCCATCGACTGACTGATTGGCACCCAAAGTCCGGCTGTTCAATTACCCAGACTTCATTTGGAGTTGACATTGTTCTTAACCAGCGTGAATTACTTGAAAGCTGCGCATGAGCACAGCATGATACACTGACCACAGCTGTGCTTTCATGTTTTAAATTTGATCCGTTTAAAACTGACACGAATTTCGAAACTTTATCTTTCATCCGAATTTTCGTAAACAAAAAAGGTAAAGTATATCAATCACAGCAAATGTATGTAGAGAAACTCCCTGGGAGCTAGCAAATAATAAATTAATTTCAAAAAACTCCAGAGGAAATACCGCATGTCCACTGCGCTCTTAAATTCCTCTTGATCAAACAAAATAAATATCCTTTTTGTATTTTAATTAATTTACTCGCCAAAATTTCGGATAACAATGAAACGTTTTGAACTTTGGCGAAGCTAAGTGGCATAACAAACTCAATTTGAGGAGGAGAAAATCATATTTTCTCGTGCAGGAAAAAAGACTCATAAGAAGTTGTCAAAACAAAAGTTACTGCTTTTTATTTCTTGGACTAACTAACTTTTTTTAAAAGTTCTTATTCACCAATTTTTAATTTAAAATGGCTCTCTTATATTGTGTGTGCACGGTACAGGCTTAGTAAACTTAACCCCGTTGCTCGAAAGCTGGATAACCCTCGTAATCCACAGGGAAAAATACTAACCAGTGGATAAGCATTAGGTCACCGGTTGTGTTATCCATTGGGCAGAGATATATCAGTCAGTAGATACCACTATCCTTCAATTTTCAGTCACAATTAACTGGGACCTGGGTGATAAAATCATTTCAAGCTGTTTTTAAGTTTAAACTGAAGTGAGGCCCATTTAATCAAGTTGAAAGTCACGATAAAAAAATAATAATAATATTGACTGGGCCGATGCTAAAGATAAATATGTTAAACTGGTCTTCTTTCGATATAGCTTTAGCCACTTTAGTTTTATAGTTGGAGGAACTGAATTGATTATTGTTGAATCCTTTAGGATCAGACTAAAAAGACCATTACATCCAGGCCCCAGTTGTTCAAAAGCCGGATAACGCGATCCATCGAATAAATCACTATCCAGTGGATAAGTATTAGGGAAACCAATTGCACTATCCACTGGCTAGAGATTTATCCGTTGGATAGCGCTATCTACCTTTTGAACAACTGGGGCCAGGAGGGTACACAACAGGTTTTTATTTGAAAGAAAACTTCAACTTATTCAAATTACATTTATGCATCTTTAACATGCAAAGCGTTTAAAGACAAAATGATGTGAGCTGAAATGAATCTCGATTTCCAGCTGCTGTATCCGTCTGCGGTTATGAATGCATAGACAGACCTCCAGTGCACCTTTTAATTTACTTTAGAAGTTTTTATTTTATTTTTGTTTCGTTTTGTTTCACTCAAAAACGTGCCAGAGTATATAGTGCAGAGAATTAACGCGCCCCTTGAAGGACAAGAACGGGGGAGGGGGAGGGGGTGCATGGTGAGAGGTTAAAGTTTTGAGGAGATTGGGTGACCAGCCACCCCATTTTTTCACGTACCTTTTATTCTATTTAGCGGAAAACTTAACGCGTCAGTCTCGTCGGAATTTTGGCCTCGTGTAACATGGAGGACCTTTGAGGCTCGTTCGAACGTCGCTTGGAATTTGTGGAGAAAAAATGTCTTGTTTCCCTGAGAACGTTTTTCCCACGTATAGAGCGTTTTCACAACACTTCACGGCGGCCATATTTGTATTCCAAACCAAACCTGTGGGAGCTGAACTCTTTTCTTATGTAAACGCTTTCATTTTGTTCTTATAAATTTACATAGACGCTGACCAAGTGAGTGAAAACGCTCTCTTTTTATATACTATAGATGTAGGAATGGAATGAGAATGTGTTGCTGGCCTGATCTTCCCACAGCCTTTGCCGTTGTAGCTGTTTTTACTGACGACATTATAACTGATCAGAGAAAATTGCCGCTATCCTCCAGTCCCTTCTAATTCCAAATGGATATCTTTGCACCCTAATTCGTAACCTTTCTAATTATACTTGATCATGACTACGGTTTTGTAAAGACGGCATTTTCACTATTTTTGTGAATTCGATGGTTAGCCATTACTATTCATTAAAATTCCCTTTTTGTCATCATTATCCCATGCAAATTTTAGGCAATCCCTCGAGGAGATTCTCGATGAATTTGAGGACTGTGAATGTGATTCCGGTTATTGTAAACACCGGAGTGATAGTGCCTTTGATAAGTCTAATGACGAAGAGATATCGGAAAGTTCGTCCAAGGAATATCCCGTGCAGGCGAAAAAAAAAAATCAAGAAAAGGACGGCGGAAAGTCATCAAGATCGAAAAATTATGGCAAATGCAAATAGTTGATGGAGATGTTTCTGCTTTTTCACTGGCACTGAAGAGAGCAACTGGCCTAAAAACAACACAGAGTCATTGCATTTTTTAGTACAATGCCATGCATAACTTATCTTTAACTTTAACTTTATTACATATCACATACATGGAAGAACACATGAGAACAACCAAAGCCAGGGGGTTAAATGGTCTAACGTCAGCACAAAAAAAAAACGTGAAGAATTTACATGAATAAAAGAAGACTTTACCTAAAATAAGGAAAAAAAACAGTCAGAGAACTTACAACTGAAATACAATACGTAACAACTAATTAGCAATACTTGAACAACTAATTATGACTGCTAAATTTACAAACACTCGACAATATATATTCCTATACACCATACAAATAAATACTCCTAGTTTAGTCTCACAAGGTATGCAAAGTCGGTGACAGGAGACTTGATTACACTATAAAATCAAATACTAGAAA